GTTCTTCACTTTTATCTTCTTTAGCCTTTCAGTCCTCATCAGCCCGCACTTGTGCGACAAAAAAAGCTCCGACCTGGAGGCTAGCCAGTGCTCTGAGGCTGCCAACTGGAAGATTGCCGACTTTAGCTCCTTTTCGCTGGGCAACAGCCAGTTCAACGAATTTTCCCAAAACCACCTTGGTGCTGGAAAGCCGTGCAAGGGCCTCCTCTGGGTCAATGTCACCTCGGAAGACTGGTTCAAGGACCACCTGGACACCGTTCACCTCGATCCATACTGTCCCGACGTCATCTGCCGCTGTGAGCACTGCGGCTCGCGAGGCATGGAAAATCAAGCCTTTAGCGGCTATGTAAGAGCAAACATGTGAAACTTAATCAACATTTTCAAAACAGTATTCTTAACTAGGTTTTACTTTTTCTTTAATTTTAGGTTGACTCTGAGACGGGCATCTGCCACACCGCCTGGGACAAGGACGTTCAGGTGAAGGAGTACCAGATTCTGACCAACCCCTGCGGCATGAAGCTGTCCTGGGAGAAAGCGGGCAAGGGATCCAAGCTGGGCGTCGTGCCGCCCTGCTCAGTGGTGGGCGGCTTCGAGGCGACCGCCTATCAATACGTAATCAGTGGACAGGCCCCGTACGGCGACCGCGCGTCGCTCTCCTACGTGGGTCGAACCAAGGCCAGCGATGGCAAGCTGTACGGTGGCAAGGTCCACGCCGTGGATGAGAAGCTCTACTACCCGTACAAGGGCGAACAGGAGACCAGTACTGAGTATGAGGTGCTAGTGCTCAAGTACTAGTTAGTTTAATTAATTAGCTTTAAGTTAATTAGACCTTTAAAAGTTGTTTTTATTGACCAACACTACTACTACCACTACACAAAATGCTAAGCAACAGCTGTGATTACGTTTCTTGATTAAACTAATTTTAAGAATAGGCCTGTTTATTTGATTGAATTAACATTTTTTGCGCAAAAAATCATTTTGAGTTTGGTGTATCAGTTAATTAAATGGAGTTTTTAATTGCTGTTTTAAGGTCATCATCATCACTTCAAGGTGAAAGAAGCAGTAGTGCGGGTATATTAGCACGTTGAACGTTTTGAAGCAAGTTAACCAGCTTGACCACTTTGCTTGTCATTTTTGTCTTTTTTGTTTTTTGCTAAAGCTGCAAAATGAATTTAATTTTATTTTTTATAAACTGCTATTTTCTTTTTCTTACATGCGAAGCATCCCAACGCAGGGAAGAAGTCACCACTACTACTACTGCGAATACTTTAGCATCAATCCAACTCCTCAACTTAACCGCCGGAACTTGCTCAATAAAATCACAATGGAAAATAAAACTGGACAAGAACTACACTCTGGAAAGTGCTCCCTTTCAGTCGATCGCTGGCAGCCCGCCCGGTTGCAATGGTCTTCGTTGGGTGGAAACCACGGCTGACATTTGGAAAACGGCGTCAGTGGTTAAGAACGCCGTTCCCTTGGCGGAAAACCCTAATGACCCTTCCCAAACGCAGTACGTCTGCCGTTGTGAAAACTGCGGTGACCCAATGACGCCGAATCAAGCATTTTCCGGTTCAGTAAGTAGTAGCAATTGAAAAATGCTAAACACTACTGAATGCCATCTTCTTTTGACCGTCTCAATTTAGATTGACCCAGCGACGGGCCACTGCGTCATTGCCTACAACAAAGAGCACCGCCTGAGCCGCTACAAAGTTCTCACCAACCCCTGCAAGTTGAGGCTAAAGTGGGTGCAGGCATCTAATGGAGCAGTGCCCGACTGCGCCGTGGTGGGCGGCTTTGAGGCCTACTCAAAGCCTCACTATGGCAAGACGGCGTACCGCTACGGCTGTCTAGTGTACGTTGGGCGGCTGTCCACTGGAGTTTCTCTCCAGAAGCGCACATCGGCTGCTAAAGGTAAAGGTAAAGGTGGCAGTACCGGTCTGCAGTACCGGGGTGGCAAGGTCCATCCGCCGGACCAGATTTTTTACTATCCAGTCAATGGCGTTGAGCAACGTTCTCCGGTGTACGAGGTGCTCACAGTGGCTAGAGGAGGAAGTGCTTCTAGCGAAGCATGAGAAAAGAAGAAGGAACAGTAGTAAAGGAAGTTGTAATTTTAAAGCTGTTTACGTATTTTAAGCAAAACATTTGTTCAGTTTAATAAAACATATGATTTTAGTTTGAATAATTGATTTGGTCAATTTCAAGAAACAAGTCAAACTGAATAAAATTGACACGACTACCGAGCTGATATGATGGTGGCATGCAGGTAATACTTTAAAAGTAGTAAGTGAAATGGATGAAACGATGACTGATGTTGTTGTACGTCTGCTGAAATGCTGGACCACAAATTGTAAATTTTCTGTTAAACTGTTTGTTTTCACTTATTGGTTAAATTCATCATCTAAAAAAGTATAAAATTTAGCAAAGAGCTGCAAGCAGATAACATAAAATCAACTGGCTGGTGATACTACTNCGTTAACGACCGCCTCAATGTTCAGCAGGTGCTTATCCAGTGGAGCGCCTTTTATCTTGGTGACTAGACGACTGATGATTGACAGGCAAAAGATGTGCATTGATAAAATAAAACAAAAAAAAATTAGATCAACAAAGCTACACGTGAGCGAGTGCATGAAACCCTTACTTTTTCACCGCCGTCAGCGTACGCTGTCGCAGTTCCTTCAGGCCGTACAGCTCGGCGGTGGCCACCAGCTGCTTCGCTTCATCATCGGCCGCCTGCTGGGCATTGACCAGCAGGGCGAGCTCGGCGAGTTTCTTCAGCTCCTCGATTTGGTACTACAAAAACAAATTTGAGAAAAGTTAAGTAATTAACAATGGTAAAATAATTTATCATCATCATCATCTTCATCAATCCTCCTTACCATATGCCCTGCTTTGTACAGCTCCACGGCGTGCATCTGCAGCTCCTCCTGCTCCAGCGGCT